CCTGACGCGGACCGTCCAGCCGAGGTTGCCCCCGCGACACTTGTAATGTGCTGAAACGTGGTCTCTTTCGTGCGCGAAATATTTACAAGACGCATACAAGTTTCCGAGGCCGTTCCATGTATTTGCCTTGACTCGAACGCGTATGTTGTGGTTTTTGTATCCTACGCGCCGGGATGCCTTGATAGTGCTGGTGCACACTGAAGACACAGATGACCCCACCCCGGAGCTTGCTTAACAAAGCCCACTTGCAAACGATGCCTCCTTGCACAGGTTGCAGCAGCTTTTTCATTTCGGATGGCTGGTGCGACAGTTGTGAGTACAAATTTTGTGTGCCTCCCAAGCGCGAAGTTGTGGCCTTCCTTTTGTTCATGCAATTCTCGTTTTGGTGTCGATTTGTTTCGCGAAATCTCTGGAGCCTCGCAAGAGCATGTGGGGTGGCCGCGCAGTTGTCGGCACCGATGCCTTCAGTGAGTCCTGTGTGCTTCTGCGCGGCGGCGGTTTTGCTGAGCCTGGAACCCTTCCCGTCCGTTTCATGCCACACACATCTCCCGTTTCATTACCCTTTTCCTGCTTTTCCAGCTGCCAGTAGCAGCCTGTCTGTTGCAGGTCTCGCCTCAGACATTTTTCACATGGTACCCCGCTGAAGCAGTCTTCGACGAGCTTGTTGTATTTTTTCCCAGTTGGGGCATGTTTAACGTGTTGTCGTTGGTCACGTAGCTTACTATTTCTTCGAACTTGGCAGATTCTCATCTCGGATAGCGTAACCCCAGGCATTTACCTGATCGAATAGGGCGACGCCGTCCTAGATAGGACCCATCTGAAATCCAGGTAACCACAAATGCGTCTCTACGTTAATCCTGGCTTGAGGTTTTCGGCCAAAGAGTATAGATTCCCTGGCGAGTATATCACCCGGGGCGATAAGAATCCACTGGCCAGGTTGCGAGCCTAGTAGCGAAGCTCTACCCATCTCGTGAGCAAGCCGTTACAAAAGGTTTGGCTGTGCGAACAACGCTAGGGGTTTGCAAGAAACCTTCGATGGTTTGAGAAGTCGCAGGAACCCATGTTCTCGGGCGAAGGCTTTTGAACACCGTCGGCCACCATGAGCGCTGAACGTATACGTCGGATAGCAGTGTCACATGGTCGCTGGAATCCCGTGCCGTGTGTTGTCAACGACCACCGCTTCTGGCTGCGACTTTGATTAGCGTGGTAGCAAGAAACCGATGCGCGGCTTACAGCCGGCTGGCGACCGCGATCGAACGTTTTCCCCGTCGGGCATACACGCCCGGTTTTGTGTTTCCACTTGGCTGATTTTCATTATGCCCTTTCGTCCCGGTTTTTCGCGTTTTCGACAATTACTCCTCATGGCCAGATTATAACACCGAGGAGTGCGATTGGGATGGGGGAGAGTGAGTACCAGCTTGATGTTGTTCCCAAGAGTCGGGGGAGAGATGCGTGGGACGTGGCGTGCTGGGGGGCACACAAAGCCTCTCTTTCGCGATGTCGCCTTGTGCAAGTGGTGACATCAGCTTGTTCTCCTTGCTGTAGCCCCACACCGAAGCTCTGGAAGAGGTGGCGTGATCAGGCGGTTCACCACTCTGTACAACCACGACGATTTAGTACATGCGGAGGTCAATACCCGCCTGAACTGTTTGTGTGCGTTCCGTTCCGTGCTCTATAGCCTTCCCCGTTGGCTAGAACCTGTCTCGCATGTCCCCTGCAAACCTGCGACCCATGTAGGCGATGAGTATTTCCACGTCCGCGCCAATTCAACCGCACCTGCTTTACTAGGTGCATACGACACAACGCGAGAAAGAACGCAGTTGGCCACCCACCGTCCGTGCAACTTGGGCGTGTTTTGTTTTTGTCCTCGTCTCCACGTTGCCCAGCTGCTGTGAGTGTGACTGCGTCGACGCCCTTTATACCTGCGGCGTTGCCGGTTACGACTGCGTCAACCCTTCCGCGTGTGGAGGCGGAGGTGAGTTGACCTTGAGGTTGCACCGCTGGTCTACATCGACATGTTGGTATGTGCGTCGCCTATAGCGATGTAGCTCTGAGAAGATGCGTGCAGTAAGCCAAGAATCCGTTCCCCGGTGAACCGGTCGTTCGTCGGTAAGAATTTCTTGTTCAGGTGTGCACATGCCCCCGTGTTTTACTTCTTGCCGGAGGTGACGGCTGTCGAGAGCAAAACTACCGGATCCGCTGCCGGCGGCGATCAGGCGATATTCAATAGTGTAGGACTCCTCCACACATGTTCGATGATTGTGGTTGGTTGGTTTGTGTCGTTGTTGTTTTGTCGCCGTTGGTGCTTCTATGCTGTCCGCACTGCGGTGCTGCCTACAGTAAGTGGTGGCCTCTTTTTTCGTTTCGACCAGGCAACGAGCTGCGGTCGGCGCCGAGTTTTTTCCGTCCGTTGGGCCACCACACTGACGAAGTGCAGAAGGTTGACACAGACTGGAATATCCACAGAGCACTGGCCGCTTCGGTCTAGACCACTGGGAAGTTGTTCTTCGAAGGCAGTGGATCGTCCGTTGCGTCCACGCGAAACCAACGCACGTCGTTCGCCCTGTTTCATCTGCCCCACCCTCCTCAGCCCTATTTTTCCCGATCATGGCATGTGCAATCGTTCTTGTCGCTGCCCTGTTCCAAAATATTGGCGACGAATATGCTACTATGCCCTCCGCCAATTCCGACGCCGACCCCGACGCCGACTTCATCTCCAACGGTGAGCAACTTGACACGTTCATGATCTGCGCTGCTTTAGAATGAATCCCCCCATGCCGTTGACTTCTGGCGCCGAGTTCACACACACGCGCACAGTGTTGCTACCGTTTCTATCTTTGATCCGGAGAATAGATTAGTCTCCCCCATGCCGCCCCCTTTCGGGGTCCCAGCTAATGGCATTTAAAAGTGTTTTGTGTTTTCAACCGCACTGAGACTGACGTCTTTTCATTAGTCAGCCGATTAGCGCAGTCGATGCTGGAAATAAGAACACGCGCACACGGGTGCCAGCCGCGGAACGCGAATCGTGAAACGATTTCCGTTGAGAGTGTCGGCTTCTTGCATGAGTACTCTCGCGTTGCTAACGCGGAGCCACGACAGACGAGTAGAGTATTTTCCTGGCGCTCCGAGTGCTGCGCCACCCCATGCCACTGAAACGCAGATAGTTCCTCATGCCGCGAGCACTGCGGGCAGGGCGCCATGTGTTGGCAATCGTCCATTCCCAGGGAGAACGGGTGGATATTGTGTTGATATCTGAAGTAACCGCGTGATGGTTCGGTACCTTGGTTATGTGGCGTTGCCAGATGTTGTTATGACCCCATTGCAAGATTCACGAGTTGTTCTGAGTCCCTTCGGTTCAGTGCGCAAGTGGGCCTAGTGTTGGAAGCTAGGTTGCATGGTGTACGTGGAATGCAATAGAAAGCTTAAATTTTCAACGAGGAAAACCAACGACACCTGTGGTCGGACCATTTCCGCACATCCCAGGGTAAGAGAGCAAGTCACACTAAAACCTCATGTCATTATTCCACCGATCAGGCGCGATACGATCAACTGTGCCTTTTGGCGAGAATGCCTGAGCTGCACTCCCTGGTTGAAAAGACTGGTTCAAATAGCCGTCGTGCTAAGCAGTGGTCACCCGTTGAACGTTCGCGTCCGTCTCATGCAAAGCATGACCTGAATAGTGGCGCGACGCTCACACCAGGAACATGCGGAGGGTTTCTATGGCATTCATCCGTTGTTTGCGGCTTTGCCATCAGTCGAAGTAGACTCTCTTGGTATTGCGAGCGGCTAGCCTCCTTGTTGCATCAACCTGCAGGGCGCTTGATGCTTGTTTCATGCTGGCACCGTTCCTCCCTTGTGTGTGCTTTTTTTCTCGACCTTCCGGAAACCATCCGTGGCGGGACTTCGTCCATTGCCGACGATACCGTCGATGCCGACTTCAACAGATGAAGACGATGATGATGATGGTGAGCCCCTTTTGCCTTCGTGTGATCAGTGCAGCCCCGTTCAGCTTGGCATCATCATTGCCAGACGCGTGTTCTGTTCGCGATTCCCTTTCATTGTCAGTCGCGTGTTCCTTACGTTTCCCGTGTTGCGCTCTGACTCGATAGCGCAGTGGTGAACTAGTAGTGTGGGGTGGAACTTACACCAGTTCTGGATTTCGAGGCTTGTGGTTTGGATGCTTGTCGCCAAGACTGCCCTCAACCAAAGTAATGATCGCGAGTTCATTCGTCGACTTGTCTTTCCTATTGTTGCTGTACCTCGTTGAACTTTCCACCCTGACTAGTGGGAGGCTCTTGACCCGGAATAAGGCAGCACGTAAGCATACCCCAGCAGAAACGGAAACAACGGAACGCTCCTTGCTGCTTGGGCTCCCACCCCTATGCGGCGCGTGGATCGCAAATCGGATGGTGCCGAACGGCGTTCTCCCTGCCCCCCCCGTGGCGTATCCCAGCTTCCTGCGGCATCCTGCGATGGGAATGTCAGACGATGGCTCATACGTCAATTGCTGAAACGATATCAAGGATGAAGTTCGTGATGTGGTGTTCCTGAGAAGTCTGGAAACTTTGAAGGAGAAGGAATTTTTGCAAGAGACATTCAAAGGACGCGGAATGCTTTCGGAGTTGATTGTCGTCGAACGCGGAGATGTGCGCAGTTTGGGCTGAGGCCGCGTTTGAATCCAATCAGATTGTTTCTGTTCAATACCTTGACTCTGCTGTAGCAGTCTCTTGCGACTATGTATGTAGTAACCCGTGTCTTCTCACACCCGTGCGGACGGAAGCGAACACCGAAAACCACCTTTCCTTCGCTCTGGCACCCCGCCCTCGAATCCTTGGCTGTTTGTGCGGTCTAGAACAACCCCTCCCCACTCTCTCTCGACGTACCAATTTTTCAGTGCCGGTGGGAGCCATCGTTGGCGGCGTGATCGGCGGGTTACTCTTTTTGGCCGCCGTAATCATCTTGGTGGTCTTGTATAAGGAAGGTTGCCTGAAGCCTTGCGCATGCGGCGATTCTTGCGCATGCTGCGAGCCCGGTCCTCCTGCAACTCCTGCTCCTGCTGGTGTAGGATCGGCGCCGTCAGTTGTCAAGGGGTATCCCCAGGTGTACTCTTCCGCTGCGGTCGCGCAACCTCCCCCCCCTGCGTACGAGGGTCCTGGCAACATTCCGCCCCCCGGAGTCCAAGCGTACCCGGCGGCTGCAGCAACTGCGGCTCCTCCCGCATACGAGGGCCCAGCGCGCAACCAGTATCCCGCGCCTGCATGAGTGCTGGCGGTTGTACGGTAGCGGTGTAGGCGAACGTTTCGCCGTCGCGTCTATGTTATGTGACTAATGTACTTTTCCGAGCAAGCGCTTATTCATAGCCTCGCAGATGGTGGTTGCATCGATATCTACCTACAAGGCATGAGCGTAGCTGTGCGGTTTACACGGATTACTTCATGCTGTGTTGTCCAACTTTGAGTATGTGTACGCAGGTTTCGTCATCTGCATTCTCTATTATTTCTGGACATGTCGGCTGGCATAGACAGGCCAAAGGTGGTCGACTACAAGGTAGGGTAGCAAAGGCTCGTAAGAGGGTAGATGTATACTCGTTTTTTCGCGGGGTTCGCGTCAGCACGTTCACCTTATTATTTTCTTTGGAAGGGTGCAGGATCTCGCCTGCTACTTTCCGTTGGACGCGGACTTCGCGTGTATCGTCTGTTCAACATCTCATCTTACGGATATCGGTTATTGTTAACCGGCTCCTGGGGGGGTAGCTTGTGAGGAATCTTTGACGAGCAGATGTGTTTGTTCATGAACTACGCCATGAGTTCGGCAGCAATACCGCCGTCCACAGTCCAAGTTCTCCGAAGGGGGAATGCTTTCACGTGCTACGTACGCCCGAACCGTTGAGCCCCCTATGCATATAATCTGGAGTAATTACGGGGTTAAAGATTCTTCTGCTTGAATTCGTTGGAGGGACGGCCTGATTATTGCAAGTTTTGTTTCCGTCCTCGTAGGCACGCGTCAGAATTCAGGTATTCAGAGGTGGTCTAGTTTGAATTCCGCACATGCGCGTTTCTGCTCAAGGCGCACCTCCGCGGACGGAAGATAGATAACTTACGCGAGAGCCGCAACATTTGCCCGTCATTCGGTGAACGGTCGTTGCGTTGACCGTGTAGATGATGAGGTACAAAATCAAGTTCGTGTTGACCCGACTATTGGCCGAGGAGGCCTGCCGGAAAGATGGCGAGACCTCTCAAAATAAACGGTAGGAACATTTTTGCACTGACTGGTGGTTACGCGGTCTGCCCGACTCTTGGAAGGAAAAGCGGCACAGGCTGTTTCTTGTGTGAGGAAGTTCCCGCGGGGTTCATTTCCAGCAACGCATGCATCGGTCGTGAGAAAACACACTTCGGCTTGAAGTCCGACGAGGGACAGGGATCGTTCTGGCTGAGGCCTTCATGCGATAAATACCCACGGCAAGCACGGAATAGGTGGGACACTCGAAACAAACAAAAAAGTGAAAGGCACCTGTTCGACGGCCTCTTGGGTGACCCTCGGCCGAAACAGAAGCGGCTACGGTTTAAGGGAAAATGTTGAAGAGAAAGTACCGATTTAAGACAGTCGAGCTGGCTTGTCACGACCGAAATCAAAATATTGCCATATTCCTGAGATTTCCCCTTGAACCGAACCTCGAAAAAGAGCCACGTAGCCGTCACACGCACAACTTGCAGACGACATTCCCTGCGCAGCAGGCAGACGCTGCATAGCGGCCCGCGATCACACCCTAGGCCCACCAAATTTCACAAACGACCGCTCGTAAAGCGAAAGAACGAACGTGCAACGAAGTGTATCATCACACGAAATCATTCATTACACATTTCCGACACAGGTATCAGGAGTGTACCCAGTGCTCGCGGTGGGCACACTGTTCACCAAGCGAGGACCAAGAATGCCAAGAATTACATATATCTATATATTTTTTTGCAGCTCGTGGAGCAAGCCCATGATGCTAAAATATCTGGCGTGATGTAACATGATGAGTTCTTATGCCCTCCAAACCATCCTTAAGCTGATTGAAACAGGAGCGTCCATAGAGTTTGCCATGGCCTTTGAAATGCTGCGGTTTACGAAAATATATATATAGAAGTATATATTATTTTTTTTGCCTTCCGACAATTGCAGATGTACCTCAGAAAACTTTCACTTAATATCTCATACTCTACATGAATATTAAACCAATACGAAGTACAACAACATATGTAGGACTTATTTCTACTGTCATTTACATCGTAAAAATATCTCCTCTTCAACTTGAAATAAAACCAATGACAATCCTGATGGTATCCTATATGCGTTCGTAAGCTTGCTAAAATACAACTGCGTTGATGTCCGCTTGTAAAAGCTGAAATCCAACAAATGCTTTGATCCATGCTACATCTCCGTGTTGGA